TCTCAATAATGGATTGAGCTGGTCATCGTGTTAGATAGGATTGGTCAATAGTTCAGGGCTTTGGTCCTCTGGTTCTCTGCAATTCCTTGCCAATCCCTCGCTTTGATGGTCCTTCTGTCTGCCATCACTTGCTTGCAGATCCTCCAGCCACTGGTCCTACAGTTACGCAATAACATACATTAGATAGTCACAAAGCAGAATACACAACTAAGGAAAACATGAAAATGGGTAGGGAACATCAGCGACCATAGTTTAATGAATGAAACCATCATCCATAATGAAAGAAACCATTGTGGCTGCAAACCAAATCCTCTGGGACCAAACGCAGCCCACCATGTCTAAGTGTGTTGATTGGAAACTGTGTAACTGGAACTAATTGATGTAACTGGAAGAGAAATGTGGTTCCTGGGCTGTAGGCTGGGATAGAGGGAAGCCAACTCGCAGTGGAAGAGGAACCCACCTTGAAGCCATCTGCTGCCCACGGAGGAGCCAGACACCACAGATGGAGTCATCACAGACAGTCCCCTGCGGCACTAGCACGGAAAAGGCCTGCCCCTCGTCTGCATCTGGTCCAGCCTAAAGAATCTGGACAGGGAGAGGATCGGAGAGGATCAGAGGGGTAGAAAATGAGAGCTAAAATAATAGAGGGGGTGAAAAACTACAGCCCAGTAACTCCTCAGTACACTTTCCATAGAGGGGGAGAAAATGAGAGATCAGGCTTGGGTTCTGAATGCTATGTTAGTCTACATGGCTAGATATCAATTAAGACAGAGATCTCATTCCATGCCATTTGGAAAGAGCACACCCCAAACCCACCCCTTGCCCATTCTCCCCTGGGTGAATAGAACCACCCAGATGGGTGGGCCACACCTTGGGTTGTGGTGGAGTTCATAAAGGCCCTGGGTCCAGCATGGGGTGCACCAGGCAGGGGGGAGGGTGACGTCCACGACTACTGTACGCACCCTCATCACCACACCTGCCCACTGGCACAACAGGATGGTAATTAAAGTGCATTTATTCTTTTAGTAGGAACATTTCCATCAAAGGAAAACAACCCATTGGCTACTGTGCCTACACACAAACCAAGATCCTTCCTCCTTACTGGTATGTAAGGTCATCTTCATGGTCTTTCTTTTCCATTAAGGAGTCCAGCAACACCAGCACCTGTGTGGGAAAGGCCATATGACATGTTCATCATCCAGACCAATGGTTAGGTATTCAGCCCTACAGAATCAATATCAAATTCGATGGGAAAGTTGGAGAGTGCAGAGTTGTCTCCCTCTAAGGGGCAGGGGAGCAGGCGAGTAGGGGGCAGGCTGAGTGATTAGGGGTGAGGAGAGTGGGCTGGCGGGCGGCGGGTCCAGGGTGGTGCTCGGAGCGGTGGCTCCACTGTAAACACAGGACATTCAGAGAGAGGCATCCTGTCCTCATAGAGGACAGCACCGCCAATCGACCACCCTGGCTGTAGGCAGTAGGCACGTACCTCTCCACCCTCTCTCCTCTTCTCCACTGGGTGAAGGCACTGGCACAGGGAAACCGAAATAAACTCTAGGCTGGGCTTTGCATACTTCTCTACCTGACGACATGGCATTACAGAAATTGTTCTGAGATCTGATCGTGATAGAGAGTGACACACATGTTTGTTCACTACAAAGTCCAGTGTATACTGTACCTTATCATGGCATAGTCCGGTGCATACCTTATGCTGACTGATAGGCCTCTGAGATTAGGTTGGGTGGATTGTAGAACAGTTCCACACAGATCCTCAAATTGCTACATTTACAGAGAGCCTTCCCTGACTATCCACAAACATTGATTATGGCTGTTATTCAGCCATGACATGGTTATTAACACATGCAAGAAAAGGTATTGTCAAAATATTATCTTACAGCTAATGATGAGAATGCAAAGCAGCACTGCACACCATGTGACCTCACTACAGCTATGGGAAACACCATGTGACCTTACTACAGCTATGGAAACACCATGTGACCTCACTACAGCTATGGAAACAGAATGTGACCTCACTACAGCTATGGAAACACCATGTGACCTCACTACAGCTATGGAAACACCATGTGACCTCACTACAGCTTTATAAACACCATGTGACCTCACTACAGCTTTGGAAACACCATGTGACCTCACTACAGCTATGGAAACACCATGTGACCTCACTACAGCTATGGAAACTGCATCAATGCTGCCTTCCAGTGCTCAAACGCTGCTACTGCAATGTGGCAATGTACTCTACTAATCAAACTAAAATTAATGTTTAACATTCAAATGTATCTGAATACATAAATACTGAATCGCCAATCTGGTAATTGATAAAACTAGCAAAGAAAAAAACATGCAGATTTTCTTTCTGGGGGTCTGAAATGCCCGGCACACAATAGCTGCCCATAATTGGCAATGGCAATGCTCTACTCTTGGCACTGGGAGCAGTCATCCAAGGCAGGAACCTGAATGATGAAATGGTTAAAGTTAACCTAAATAAATGTTTGACCTTGAGGAGGTTTAACATAATGAAAGTGATAAATGCAGAGAGAAAAAAGACAACCTTATACCTTTAACTCTGGGATTATTTAGTATGTATTAAGATCCCCATTAGCTGCTCCACTGTGAGATATGGGGACTAATCTTGGTGTTTAAACTGGACCTGCAAGGAAAGCATTTCCAGAGTTAAAAGGGATTAGCCATGATTGATAAATAAGAAGTGACACTAACGATGAGTTTACACCAGGAAGCGGCATCGCGCGGTGAAAGATCGAAGCCATTCACTTTCAATGGAAGGAAAGCAAGAGAAGCAGAGTGGGAGGGGACCGTTGAGCGATGCGAGCATGGGCGAGGGCGCTGAACAGGGCGGGACTAAAATTGGGGAAAGCTGAACTTTATTCAAATCCTCCGCGATAACGCAACATGAGTGACCAATCAAAGCTCATCATAGCTTCCAACCCCCTACTGGATTGGCTGACATTGGCTGTTGATATGTAGCGCTACCTAGCTGCTTGCTAGCTTGTTAGCACCCACATGAGGGCGAGGTTAGTGTGGCTAGGAGACTGCCGCCTGTATAGTGTAAATGGACGGTAAAGGCGGGATTCAATCCGGCTTGCTGAAGACAGGGGCGCAACTTTGGTTTTATAAGTGGGGGGGGACATATTTTCTTTTTTTCTTTTTTTATCCAGTCAGATAAACACTCCAAACAGCCTACCCGACCGCTCGGAGGCGTCCGCATGGTTCTAAAGCACACCTTTGCCTCGTTTTGTATCACATTCCAATGATAAAACTGGGGGGGACAAAAATGCAATTTCAGAATGTCCCCCCCTGGCTGAAGGTCCGGGTCCAAATTTAAAGGTAATTTCCGATTGAGCTGACATACAGCTCTGGAAAAAATTAAGAGACCACTGCAAAAATATACGTTTCTCTGGTTTTACTATTTATAGGTGTGTGTTTGGGTGAAATTAACATTTTTGTTTTATTCTATAAACTACTGACAACCTTTCTCCCAAATTCCAAATAAAAATATTGTCATTTAGAGCATTTATTTGCAGAAAATGACAACTGGTCAAAATAACCAAAAAAATATGTAGTGTAGTCAGACCTCGAATAATACAAAGAAAATAAGTTCATGTTCATTTTTAAACAGCACATTACTAATGTTTTAACTTAGGAAGAGTTCAGAAATCAATATTTGGTGGAATAACCCTGATTTTCAATCACAGCTTTCATGTGTCTTGGCATGCTCTCCACCAGTCTTTCATGATGTTGGGTGACTTTATGCCACTCCTGGCACAAAAATTCAAGCAGCTCAGCTTTGTTTGATGGCTTGTGACCATCCATCTTCCTCTTGATCACATTCCAGAAGTTTTCAATGGGGTTCATGTCTGGAGATTGGGCTGGCCATGACAGGGTCTTGATCTGGTGGTCCTCCATCCACACCTTGATTGACCTGGCTGTGTGGCATGGCGCATTGTCCTGCTGGAAAAACCAATCCTCAAAATTGGGGAACAATGTCAGAGCAAAAGGAAGCACGTTTTCTTCCAGGACAACCTTGTACGTGGCTTGATTCATGTGTCCTTCACAAAGACAAATCTGCCCGATTCCAGCCTTGCTGAAGAACCTCCATATCATCACCGATCCTCCACCAAATTTCACAGTGGGTGCAAACTACTTTGTGACATTGTCAAAGACTACAAATTGCAAGGCAGATCACTTTGGGGTCATATGTTAACAGAATGTGAACTTTAGCCTACACAAAAACTGTTTAAAGTGAGAATTAGGCAGGTTTAATGCCGAAAAAGAAAGGAAATTATTGCCTACTTCACCTATATTTTATTTTGTTTCTACAAAAAAGTAGTGTGTAGTTCCAGTAGTTAGATAAACTGCTACATGGCAAAAAAGCAATTAACTACTGAAAACACTCCCTAGATTTGAATTGTGTTTAACTACCACCAAGCTACTGCAAAATGTAGTTCAATTACTAGTTGAACTACATGTAGTTCACTATTCCCCAACACTGGTTCTGTGCATGTTTTGTCCACCAATGTTAGGCTACCCCAAAGTCACCTTGGCGGGTCATTACTGATACAGTTATACGGAGTCTACAATGAAGTCAAGGCAAACCACACACATCCTATAATTTGCCAGTCTTAGACTCAAATTATTTTATACATTCAAATTAGTGTCACACAATTATTTCATCAATTCATATGAAAGCCTATTATCGCGTTATGAAACGTTAATTAACAGTGGTTTGCATTGAGAACTGTGTGAGATCAAAAAGGTCCGTGAAAAACGTAGGCTAGCAAATCACCAATAAAATATAAGTTGTAACAGAAATACTTGTATTCTTACCTCATCTTTATGGGATGACTTAGACATTCGAAATTCAATCTGTAAAAACTTTGGAAGCCTCACCCAAGGGCTCCAGTTCGAGCGCCCCGGCATCATTAGATAACGGAAACAATTGTCGTGGATAGAGCATGAGCTGCACAATTCTATAGTCTACCAACCACTCCTAAAAAGAAAAACAATAAACGACTGCGATATTGAACTATAAACTGTTGGGCAAAAGTTATTGTGTTTATTATAGGCCTATATAGCGTAGTTTTCGCCAGGTCCCAAAATAACTGATGACATAACATATTTGGAGGACATGGACATCGGAATTCAATTGTAGTCTGAAGGATTATGCATATAGACAAGCATAGGCTACTGTATATAGGCATTCGCTAGTGACCAAATGTATTTATTTATTTAGCCTATGTATTATTGATATAATAATAACAACAATAATATATTTAATATTAATAATACTGTATTAATAAATGTTTCATCATGTATCATCATCATCATCATCATCATAAAGTCCTATTGTTATCATTTTTAGTGTTATCAGTATTAGCCAATTAATATAATCGATGATGATTGAGGAGGATGATGATGATTTTCTAAAAAAATCTCGGTCATTTTTGCAAATAGTTTAATTCTGATGAAACTTTAAAAATAGAATGCTTAGAATTGTTAGATCGCCCAGGGAACGTTCCATGGATTTAGAACTATTGCCAAGTTGTTTATCATTGAAATTAAAATCACTACAAAGAGCAGGAAGCAAGCTGAGAACGAGAGATACCTATTCTGAAACTGTAGTCTACCACACTTTTAATGTAGTGGGAAAGGGCACCTTCGGAAAAGTGTCAAAATGCTGGAGAGGGAGTGATGGAGAGTAAAATTAGTGGCGGTAAAAATTATGAAAATGGATGTTCACATAAATAATTTGAAGACAAGCCACATAGTTCAATTTCACGAGGCATTCTGTGACCAAACTAATCATTATCTGGTTTTTGAACTATTGGAGAAGAACCTGTATCAGCTTCAGAAAGAGAATGGTTTCAAGCCGATTGCGGTCTGCAACATCCGTACCATCACGTGTCAGATGACAAACGCACTAGCCAAGCTGAAGGAACTCGCAATCATTCATGCTGATCTGAAACCTGAAAATATAATGGTCGTGGATCATTGTTGCCATCCCTTCAGCGTAAAGTTGATTGGTTTTGGTTCTGCAAGTATTTTCAGTGAAGTGCATTTTGTTAAGGAGCCATACATCCAATCCAGGTACAAAGCCTATGTTGCACCACATGCTTTGTGATGTCTTGTATTTATGAAGGTCATCATTAAAAGAAATTCAGAGCACGACCCAGAGTTCCTCAACGAAGACGTGGCAGCAGAAGTTGTGGACCGCCGGAGCATGGTGCAGCTCCTCAAGCGGACGTTAACCTTGGACTCCAACCAGAGGATCCTACCCCAATGCGGCCTTACACCATCCTTTCATCAACATGCACCACTTATGCATGTACCCAGACTACAACCACTACTATGAGAAGTCCACTCGTGAGGCCCTGATTCAGGATACAGCTCCAGAGGGAGACAGCTGTAGGTCTCACCATCTGAATGCAGAGAGGGGCCAGCGGTTCCTGTACCCCAGGGAGAAGGGGACCCACCAGTCATGTCCCCTGGGTCAAAATCACCATGACCAGAGGGAGGGCTACCCACCATTCTCAGAGCGCTTCCAAGGTAACAATGGGGTTCTCTCCCAGCAGACCCCAGTGCCCAGTGAGCCTTAGTCCCCCACAGCGCTATTTGAAGACCTGATGGAGAGCCTGTGCATTGTGGATGAGGCCAACCTGGAGGCCACCATGGGGGTATGGGCGGAGGAGGATGCCCAGTGTGCCTTCCATCTGTCCAGCTCTGTGAAACCCTCAGATCTCCAAGCCGGCCTCCAACCAAGTGAAAGCGGTGCCTTCCAGGAGACTGAGCTAGACTGTCCTCCTATAGGCTCCACCAGCAGAGATGACCCAGAGAGTGGCTCCAAGCTGTCCTATTTCACCAGGCTGTGAGAACCAGCGCCTGAGGCAGCCAGTGGCCAGATCCTTGCGGTCCGATCCTACCCACGGGTTGAGCTACACCTCTGGGCCCCAGATGGACAAAGCAGGTGAGCCCAAAGGCTCCAGTCTCTTTTCTAGGGACTCCACCACCCAACAGGACCTTGCAGGGCCCAGGGAGCAGGCAGAGGCAAAGGAGGCAGCCTGTGTTTATGGCTTGGAGGTAAGAGTATGTAGTTTTGGAGATAAGAAAATAATTGTCAGTAGAGATTAGAACCATAATACTGTATAAAATGCTGTGGGGATTACAATTCTGGAACGGTTTTGTCATTTTCCATTTTGGTGTCCCACTCTCCCACAGGAGGTCCAGTTTCTCAATTTTTAACCTGAAGGCTACTCCTGTGAACAAGATCCCACACCATACTGTGGGAAACAGGCTGACTAAGTATGGTTCCCAATCAGAGACAACAAGCAACAGCTGATTCACGTTGCCTCTGATTGAGAACCACACTGGCCAACATAGAAACACAATTCTAGAACGAACAGAAATGAAAACTCACACCCTGGCTCAACATACTAGAGTCCCCAGAGCCAGGGCGTGACAGTACCCGCCCCCAAAGGCGCGGACTCCGGCCGCGCCAACCAAACACCACAGGGGAGGGACCGGGTGGGCACTCCGCCTTGGCGGCGGATCCGGCTCCGGGCCTGATCCCCACTCCCTCAAAGTACCCCTGGTCCGGTCTGGCCCCGCTGGCCGGAGCTGGACTGCACACTGGTGGAGCGGATTGCTCTAGCTCCGGCGTGAAGCAGCTGACCGGTGCCGGACCAGGGACCGGTGGAACAGGCACGGGCCGTGCCGGACTGACGACGCACACCACTGGCTTGGTGTGGGGAGCAGGAACGGGCCGGACCGGGCTGGCGACGCGCACCATTGGCTTGGTGCGGGGAGCAGGAGCGGGCCGGACCGGGCTGGCGACGCGCACCATTGGCCTGGTGCGGGGAGCAGGAACAGGCCGGGCCGGGCTGGCGACGCGCACCATAGGCTTGGTGCGGGGAGCAGGAACAGGCCGGGCCGGGCTGGCGACGCGCACCATAGGCTTGGTGCGGGGAGCAGGAACAGGCCGGGCCGGGCCGGCGACGCGCACCATTGGCTTGGTGCGGGGAGCAGGAACAGGCCGGGCCGGGCTGGCGACGCGCACCATTGGCTTGGTGCGGGGAGCAGGAGCGGGCCGGACCGGGCTGACGAAGCGCACCACTGACTTGGTGCGGAGAGCAGGAATGGACCGGACAGGGCTGGCGACGCGCACCACAGGCTCGGTGCAAGGGACAGGAACAGACCGGACCGTACTGGGGACACACACCACTGGCCCTACGCAGGGATCAGGAACGGGCCGGACCGGACTGGTAACACACCCCAGTACCTCTCGCCGTGCCTCTACACCTTCCTTCCCCTTTTTGACCAGTGGCCCCCGTAACCTGGCGGCCTCCTCTGCCAACCCGCTGGGCCGCTCTATCGCGGTCTCCTGCTGCCCCGTCGTCCATGGCGTGAGCCCCCCCCTAAAAAAATTCTGGGCTTCTCTCCCTCCCGTGGACCAGGTCTCCATATCTCTCGCCAGCCTTTCGCCCTTCTGCTTCCAAGTCAAGCCCCCCTCTTGCTCACACGGCTTGACCCAGTCGAGGAGGCGCTGGATATCCGCTAGAGATTTCCCTGGCGATGGCTCCTGGACCCGCTGCTTGGTCCAGTTCTGGTGGGATCTTCTGTCACGATCGTCATATACAGAGGAGGACCAAGGCGCAGCATGGAAGGTGAACATGCTTTTTATTAATGTTACACGAACAAAACAATAAACGATAACGTGACGTCCTCGGTCTAACACAAACCACACTGGAACAAGATCCCACACCATACTGTGGGATTAAGTATGTTATCAGAGCAAAAGAAAATGTTTTGTCTGATTAGACCAATGGCCAATAAAATACTAGTGGAACCAAATGGAAACTCACACCCTGGCTCACCCACAGAGTCTCAGAGCCAGGGCTCCTGTCATTGTTGCCAATGGTGGCCGGCGTGGACCTCGGATCCAAAGGTGGCCTCCTACCTGGGCTACGGCCCCCCAGCCTGCTGTAGCCATACGCAGCAGCACTACCTCCACTACTGAGTCTCCTGGAGGGAGGGGGTCAACAGATACACGTGCCAGTACTGTACCAAAGCTGAGGGCTTCCAACAGCTCCTCTTATCCAACGTGAGCTCCTCAATACACAAAACAGACACTCCGCCAATGCAAAGCAGGCATGAATAGACAAGCAGACCTGATTTTTCAAACAGCCCTCCGAGAATGTTGTCATTAAGAGTTTCATATTGATTAACTGCACAGTGGATAAATAAATGTATAATTTGCAAGACTGCATGCTTTATTCTTAGTAATGAAATAAGATAGACTTACTTATTCTAAACACTTTGCATACAACTGCTAAATATAGACTGTTTAAATTCAATTTATTAGGGACATTAACACAAAGGAAGAAGAGTGTACAAAATGCAATCAATATTGTACAGTACCAGTGCTTGCCAAATAATACACAGTGCAGTGCTATTAAACACTTAAGTATTTTGGCAGTTGCTATGACAACATTCTCCACTGCACTGCTCATATTAGACACTCCACGCAGCGCAAATTCAAGAAAAATCTAATGTTTTCTGGACTTTATTGCACACATATGAAATCAATTACTGCATAATTCTATGGGAAACATACTAGTTTTAAAGTTAGAAGGATTCAGAATGATTGAATTAAAAAAAACAGTCTAGGCTGCAGAGAAAAACAATGCACAACATACCAATCATACATCAAAAATAATAAAAAGGATCAAACCAGCATGCCTAGCAACGTCAGTCCAAACATTCAACACATAATACAGCAATCTCCCTGAGATTCACTGGGATTTATTCCCAAAGAGTTAAAGTTGATAATGCATTATTAACACACAGGCTTGTGTTTTGATCATTGAGGTGATAGATACATATCTCCTGCAATTATAAAAATTGTCAATTTATGAAATAATCCAAGAAACAGCTGCTGATTAGAACTAGTGTACAGGGACAGAGAGAAGAAATGTGCATATTTGGCAAAAAAAAAACAGCTTGCTGTCAATTGGGCTTCGAATCCAATTCTATATTGGCACGCTTACATCCCATTCCTCCCCATGCTGGCTTGGAGGACACAGGCCCTGTAACAGTCTAGAGTGGTGGTTCCCAACTCCAGTCCTCGAGTACCTCCAACAGTACACATTTCTATTGTAGCCCCAGACAAGCAGACCTGATTCAACTTGTCAACCAATCATCAGGCCCTCAATGAGTTGAATCAGTTTATTTTTGCCCGGGTCAACAACAAAAATGTGTGCTATTGGGGGTACTCGAGGACTGGAGTTGGGAACCACTGGTCTAGAGTGTAGTATTGTATCTAACACACCATTTTGAGGTCGGTGTGCTGGAGGATTGGGGTGCTGTAGGCGGAGTCCCAGTCCCTTTCGAACACGGCCTGTAGTTGTGCCTGGACCGTAGGCTCCGCTGACTGGGCAGCCGTTTGGTTCACCACCAAAGCCGATCCAGCAGTGTTCACAAAATAGTCTCCAGACCAGTTAGAGGTACCTGGTGATCAATGGGAAACACAAAGTTGCATTTTGTTGTGCATGGGATGTAATTCTGTAGGTTGTGCATAACTTCTGAGAAGTTACCTCTGGTTTTTACATCAGAAATTATTGATTGTACTGATACAGTAGCATGACTGGTGCATATGCTATCTAGGAGAGAGCAGAATTACCTATGTAGGCAACCTTGTCTGTCACCATGTACTTGTTATGGTTGACTCTGGCAAAGGGGATTTCTTTCTGCTTGGGACTGGCTGGCACAACAAAGAGTTTCTGTAAAACAGTGAAGAAGAGTTTAATATCTAACAATTGCTCTTCTGGAGGAGCTTACCATACTAATGATGATAAGTAAAGTGCATGAGTAGCGAGAGGTCCTACTCACCACCTGGACATCCAGCTTGGCCTTGGGTTCCTGCATTGAATCCAAGGCTTTCAGGAAGGGGATCATGACAGGCGAAGAGCTCGCCCAACAGCTGATGAGCAGGCGCACCTTCACCCGCTTCTCGTATGCCACGCGTCTGATCTGAGTGTCAATTTCTGCCCAGTACCTGCAGTGGGCGCCACAGAGAGGGTTAGGCCAGAGTCATATGGGCTAAGCCTTGCGTGCTTTATTAATTATACACTGAATACATATCGCAAACGTTGGTGAGGTTAATACATTACATAGAAGGCTGACCTTTTGGGTTGTGAAAACTCCATGGTGGGCAGATAGTTCATGACAGCGATGTAGACAAACTCCCGTGCGTCCTCCATCACACTGAGAATAGACTGCAGGTCTCCGGTCCTCCCGGCAGCACAGAAAGATGGTGGAGAGCTCTGAGGGTACAGCACAGTTAAATTAAATATAGTAGTATGTTGAACATAGGACCAGAGAAAATGAATATGGAGAATTCCATAACCAGACTTCACAAACCGGTCCAATTTGTATTATATGATCCAATTATTGGATTACTTTTTTCTGAAAATGTGCACTTTCAGTCAATTCTTACCGACAGATACACACTGGAGGCTGTGCCATTAAGTGGCAGCTGCAGGGGCGTGTCCTTATTGTAAGGAGTGTTGAAACTGCTGGGCCAAGGGGACGGGATGGGTGTGTCTTTTTGCCCAAGATACCAGTAGGCCTCGAAGATCTTCCCCAGGTCTGCAGCCAAGCAGCTGCAGTTGTACACCACTGCCCCCAGCTCCTTCACCTAAACAGGACAACAACAGAGGACATGTTTCACAGACTGAACCAAAGCTACTTTCCCACAACTTGATGTGCTAATTTTAGACAATACAAAGTTGTGATATAATGTTTACACTTTAAAAGAACAAGGAAATATGACTACTTCCTCCAAAAACCACAAGCATGACGTTTCAAATGGTTTACGGAATTCATTTTGCTACATTTTCATTTTTGAACAACGAATTGTTGTTTTTCTTTTTAAAACTTTTTCTATGGGGGTGAGGCTGAGTGTGAGGGCACAGAGGAGACTCACCTGGGTAAGGGACCTCCAGTCCATGTTGGCACTGCCAATATAGATGTGCTTGTTGTCCACCACCCAGAACTTGGTGTGAAGTACTCCAGTGGTCAAATCCTGCATGTTCACGGCTCTTACATCAGCACCTAAAGAAAGAGCTACCATTATCACCACATAAAGCAAACAGACTAATACTTCCTTACTGTAGGTAGCAGCTTGATTGGGGTCAATTTAACTTCTGCAAATTCAATGGAATTGAAAACATAAATGCATGGTCAGAGAACCCCTTACCAGAACTTTTCAAGAGATTGATGTCTTCCTGAGGTTGGGACTTTGTTGGTGTATTTACAGCGATGCGGACAGAGAGCTTTCCCGACACCTGAGCTAGCCTATTCAGGACATCCTCACCCTATAGACAAAACATAACTGTTTAGACTAAAATAATCCACAACTACCCACAGGTTTCGATCTGACATCGCATTGGCTGCCAATCACAGAACACACTCACCTGATTCGCTGTTGGCTCGTGAGAGCCTGTGTCTTTGTTGGTGAGCGTCCAATAGAAAGACGCGATGTCCACGCTACTGCGAGCCTCACTAATCAGGTTCAGCCAAGCCTGGTAGATGGATGGGTTGGTGACACTAGAGTTGAACTCTAACCCCTCTGGGATGCTCTCCAATAGAACGATTCTGGAATAGAGAAAGGAAGCATCATTGTTTTACTACATCCTTGAACAGTTAATGATAGCACCTGTTCTGCAAAACATGACCATGGTGGTTAGCCACGTAACCACAAATGAGTTAAAGCTGCAGAATAATAGAGTATGAATGAGCAGAATAAGAGTTTTACAGTGAGCACACTAACAGTGGGAAATTAGACATTGTACAGAGGCCCACTCACTTGCAGGGGTCGGTGCAGGTGTCAGTGAGAGGAAGTGGGAGCTTGAAGCCTGGCTTGTTTGGGGAGGAGTTAACCACGGGAAGCAGCAGGGTTTGGAGGAACAGGGCAGCCAATAGCAGGGTGGCCACCCCAGTGAGACCCAGCAGACACCTATAATACTACACACAGAGATGGCTGGATCAGGAGCACAGTCATGTAGAGGTGACCCTGACCAGACCACCCTGACCAAAGAGGAATGAGATAACGGTTATGGAACAGTGGTTGTATATAATCACCATGAGTCCCGTGAGAATTTGTCTGGTTAAAGGACTATTTTGCCTATATAATTCAGTGGTTGTTGTTTTCAGTAGTCCATAGTAGACACATTCACACAAAAAAATGCTTTTCAAAACAATGTCTAAGTAGATATCTAGCTTTGAATGTCCTGATCAGTCCTGATGTTCCCAATTGCCAGTTTGAGTCAATTCCTACAATTTCCATGATTCCCCTCTCTCTAACTGGGTGGGTGGAGTTGTCAAAAGTGCTTCAACTTCATCAAATATAAGACAGGAGAGATTATTTCACAGAAATGTATAATGTTCCTTGAGTTGTTGGAGTTTAGAGTGAATATAATTAGTTAACAGCAATGCTCTGTGCCCTCTCACGTCTCGCCATTAAGCAGTCCAAGCAGAGCGTTACTATGCATACTCACATGCATGGTGGATTGACTACGAATACAGTTGAAGTCGGAAGTTTACATACACCTTAACCAAATACATTTAAACTCAAAAATGCCCTGTCTTAGGTCAGTTAGGATGACCACTTAATTTTAAGAATGTGAAATGTCAGAATAATAGTAGAGAGAATGATTTATTTCAGCTTTTATTTATTTCATCACATTCCCAGTGGGTCAGAAGTTTACATACACTCAATTAGTATTTGGTAGCATTGCCTTTAAATTGTTTAACTTGGGTCAAACGTTTTGGGTAGCCATCCACAAGCTGCCCACAATAAGTTGGGTGAATTTGGGCCCATTCCTCCTGACAGAGCTGGTGTAACTGAGTCAGGTTTGTAGGCCACCTTGCTCGCAAACGCTTTTTCAGTTCTGCCCACACATTTTCTATAGGCTTGAGGTCAGGGCTTTGTGATGGCCACACCAATACCTTGACTTTGCTGTCCTTAAGCCATTTTGCCACAACTTTGGAAGTATGCTTGGGGTCATTGTCCATTTGGAAGACCCATTTGCGACCAAGCTTTAACTTCCTGGCTGATGTCTTGAGATGTTGCTTCAATATATCCACATAATTGTCCTTCCTCATGATGCCATCTATTTTGTGAAGTGCACCAGTCCCTCCTGCAGCAAAGCACCCCCACAGCATGATGCTGCCACCACCGTGCTTCACGGTTGGGATGGTGTTCTTCGGCTTGCAAGCAACCCCCTTTTTCCTCCAAACATAACAATGGTCATTATGGCCAAACAGTTCTATTTTTGTTTCATCAGACCAGAGGACATTTCTCCAAAAAGTACGATCTTTGTCCCCATGTGCAGTTGCAAACCGTAGTCTGGCTTTTTTATGGCGGTTTTGGAGCAGTGGCTTCTTCCTTGCTGAGCGGCCTTTCAGGTTATGTCGATATAGGACTCGTTTTACTGTGGATATGCAGCGAGGGAAAAAAGTATTTTATCCCCTGCTGATTTTTTAAGTTTGCCCACTGACAAATATATGATCAGTCTATAATTTTAATGGTAGGTTTATTTGAACAGTGAGAGACAGAATAACAACAAAAAATGCATGTCAAAAATGTTATAAATTGATTTGCATTTTAATGAGGGAAATAAGTATTTCACCCCTCTGCAAAACATGACTTAGTACTTGGTGGCAAAACCCTTGTTGGCAATCACAGAGATCAGACGTTTCTTGTAGTTGGCCACCAGGTTTACCCGTCCATTGTCCCTTTGATGCGGTGAAGTTGTCCTGTCCCCTTATCAGAAAAACACCCCCAAAGCATAATAATGTTTCCACCTCCATGTTTGACGGTGGGGATGGTGTTCTTGCGGTCATAGGCAGCATTCCTCCTCCTCCAAACACGGCGAGTTGAGTTGATGGCAAAGAGCTCGATTTTGGTCTCATCTGACTACAACACCTTCACCCAGTTCACCTCTGAATCATTCATGTTCATTGGCAAACTTCAGACGGGCCTGTATACGTGCTTTCTTGAGCAGGGGGACCTTGCGGGCGCAGCAGGATTTCAGTCCTTCACGGCGTAGTGTGTTACCAATTGTTTTCTTGGTGACTATGGTCCCAGCTGCCTTGAGATCATTGACAAGATCCTCCCGTGTAGTTCTGGGCTGATTCCTCACTGTTCTCATGATCATTGCAACTCCACGAGGTGAGATCTTGCATGGAGCCCCAGGCTGAGGGAGATTGACAGTTATTTTGTGTTTCTTCCATTTGCGAATAATCGCACCAACTGTTGTCACCTTCTCACCAAGCTGCTTGGCGATGGTCTTGTAGCCCATTCCAGCCTTGTGTAGGTCTACAATCTTGTCCCTGACATCCTTGGAGAGCTCTTTGGTCTTGGCCATGGTGGAGAGTTTGGAATCTGATTGATTGATTGCTTCTGTGGATAGGTGTTTTTTATACAGGTAACAAGCTGAGATTAGGAGCACTCCCTTTAAGAGTGTGCTCCTAATCTCAGCTCGTTACCTGTATAAAAGACAGCTGGGAGCCAGAAATCTTTCTGATTGAGAGGGGGTCAAATACTTATTTCCCTCATTAAAATGCAAATCAATTTATAACATTTTTTACATGCATTTTTCTGGATTTATTTGTTGTTATTCTGTCTCTCACTGTTCAAATAAACTTACCATTAAAATTATAGACTGATCATGTCTTTGTCAGTGGGCAAACGTACAAAATCAGCAGGGGATCAAATACTTTTTTCCCCTCAATGTAGATACTTTTGTACCTGTTTCCTCCAGCATCTTCACAAGGTCCTTTGCTGTTGTTCTGGGATTGATTTGCACTTTTCGCACAAAAGTACATTCATCTATCAGAAGCTTCTAAAGCCATGTCATCATTTTCTAGAATTTTCCAAGCTGTTTAAAGGCACAGTCAACTTAGTGTATGTAAACTTCTGACCCACTGGAATTGTGATACAGTGAATTATAAGTGAAATAATCTGTCTGTAAACAATTGTTGGAAAAATTACTTGTGTCATGCACAAAGTAGATGTCCTAACCGACTTGCCAAAAATATAGTTTGTTAACAAGAAATGTGTGGAGTGGTTGAAAAACTAGTTTGAATGACTCCAACCTAAGTGTATGTCAACTTCCGACTTCAACTGTACATGTGAAAATTGATTTAGGGTAAATTCCCCTTTAACTCACATCCTTGGCCACTGACTACGGTGTGTGTCTGATTGTAGGTTTCAATCATATTTTTACACCATTTTCATTAGGTTACTTGGTAAATATAATTAATATTTGATACCATCTGTGCTTTCCTGCGGGACTCTTCTCTCCTCGACTCCACATCACACATCTGCACCAGAAGAAGATTTTAACAAGTTAGAATTTTGTGTCTCAGTTTTCTGTCAAAACTTACAACAACAGTACTGACAAAAACCTTACCTTCTCGTAGGGAATATCAGAAATCATTGTTACAGAGTATTGTCTCTTTTGACAAAGTTGTTCAGGATTCTGATCAGAAAATGCAGCTCAGAAAAGGCTCTAAACAAAACAGAAGAAAATTACATCAAATCATGTAAGACCAAGCTATATTTTTACATTTTAGTCATTTAGCAGATGCTCTTATCCAGAGCAATTTACAGGAACAATTAGGGATTAGTGCCTTTCTGTTTGAAGTGACAGGAACCATGTTGAGCTGTATCTTTATGATGCCTGATGAGTACCTTACTCACTGAGCCCCTATATCACAATGAATGGTGGAATACAGTACTCTCAGTCAGTAGTGTTATTCCATCCATGACACACCATTGTCGCCACACTGCCTCTGCCCCCCCAATTCTATAGGAGCGTGTCAAGACCTATTCATAATAGGAAAGTTCTGGGTCTCATTAACAATATAGAAGAAAAATGACTGACGTCAATGCTACAGGCCAGGAGTGTTTGCAGGCAGGTGTTCACGATAATGCACAGGTCGATATGGTGCACACTATACATATAATTTGACAAACAGTATGATAGATTCTTCAGAGCACATTTTGTGGCTCAACGTTTCATTTGTAGAACGCATTTCCCATGCTCATGACTCCAATATGATAATACGCGATTTCTGGACAAAATGTTACAGAAAAGCAGAAGCATCTTAGATACGCTGAAACATCAGTTTCTGAGGAGAGGTTAAATTAGCTGTCTCAGGGCTGCAAGTCACGAGTGGAACGTCTCAACTGAAGTCAGGGCTCTAGTGATTATGAGTAGGCTATCAAGCTACATGAACTTAAAAGGCAGAACATTAACAGAATCAAGTTGACCATTCTGTTTACAACTTTGGTTAACACACAAAAATAACAAGTGCTTTTAGTCTGACAAATGACATATTGTTAGTGCTAAATTCAACAGTGAGCCTCACACAAAACATGTCTGTTGTGGCTGGCCTAGTCTATTTATCTCTTCGTAAGAGTAACTACATTTGAAGGGAAATACGAGGAAGACTGCTTATGGGGTGAGTCAGCGTTAGAGAAAATACTATTTATTTCAAGCTTTACCCTTGAAATGGTTATCTTCAACTACCATGTCATTAGGGAAGATGATAAGATGGCTACTTTTGGAGGTTGCCCCATGGTAATTGCCACTAAGTCATGGACATACACAGTTATGCGTAGTTCTCCACATCCATGGTACAGTGAAATGAAGACTGATAAAACATATAGTTTCAGATGTTATGTTTATGTTCCCCTTGCCAGTAAATTGAGTGCCGTAACCACGAATTAATTGCCTATGCACATTGAAAAGTTGTGTGTGGAATACCCAGTGTAGGCCTATGTGCCAATTGCCTTGTTTTTATTTGCTGAAACTGCCAGTCAAGTAGATATCATATTACATGAGTATTGTACCAGTTGATCATTAATTGCCTTCATCAAAAGCTTGCAGCGGTTACATTTCGATGTTTGGAGCGTGCCTAGACGATCAAAGGCTATATACGCGAGTAAAGCAAAAGCAACAACAAAGGGCACTCATATCCATACCTGAAATCATGCGGACAGTCCGTGTGAAATCTTTCATGGAGTAAATTGCCTAATGTAAATGATCGTTAATGTTATTTACCGGTTACATTAGGCTACTGTTTTTAACAACTAAATGTGGATAAACAAAATGCAATTGCCAGAATGAGAAACTACCAGATCAAATACGTTCCAAATAGGCTACGCCTTCTCGAGCGTGTGGTCATGTGACCAAGCCTAAACAACCAATGAGAATCCAACCCAACGTCATATATGAGGCATCGCACCTAACGCCTGAAACTAGATCGCCTATATACGGGTGTTGACAAGAAGAAAACGGTCGGCGATGTTCTCTTCTCCACTGTTCAGCCAATCCAGTAAATGTGGAGGAGGAGTTAAGATGGACTGACGCCTTGTTAACGTTAAAAGCGGATGTCGCATCACTGGCTCTCTTTCCATTTCCCCTGAAAACCAGAGCATCCCGTTGTCGGGGACTCCGCACGCTCAGAGGCTACATCCATAGAGATAGATAGAGGACTCATCTTTGTATCTGTGCAATATAGCGCCTGTGACAGGCTGGCCAGCACCATTGAGGCAATCTCCATTTTGAAGTAGTACATTTTCTTCTTCACAATTGGCTAAACCCTTCTGATGACCCAGTTGGACATGACTCCAACAGGGTCACCAGAAGGGATCAGCCAATGAAGTTGGAAGTCCCACCTAGTAGACTACATTAAAATGTTGTAAGAACTCAATGGCGCTGCCCATGCTAATATGGCATTTTGCCACTGGAGGCATCTATCATACTCTATGGCTACATCATACCAAAAGTACCTCACTGTACTCGCCATGTACTTTGAAAACCAAATGAGGGCGCTGTAAGATCATAGAAAACCACATTGGGTTTATTCATGGAAGTGCCATAGATACCTACTGTGTACAGACAGACATTATTGAATTATCTGTCGAAAGAAGAGCGGCAATAAGATTAGACTAACCCTTGACTGTGGAATAGTGAATTGTGTCAAGTCTAATAATCTCAATATAGGCCTACTTATTCATCATGGCCATGTAGCCTATGCTTATGATATGCCTATAACTTTTACCAAATGTATTAACACAATTTCAACATATGTTCTACTGCAATGTAGCCTTAAATGGGCTTTATGGCTAACCCTCTGTAAGGGAGGCAGTAGGTATATACAGTACCTATTATGATGGGCCATTTTATCTGATTATGGCAACAATCCACAAATACTGTGACTGATGCCAAAAGCAGGTCATGCTTAGACCTACACCGAATGGAGAAGTCCCTTTTGTAGTGTGCACTCTCCAACAAGGGTGTTATGTCCGCAGGTCTTTTTATTTTTGTCACATAGCCTAGTGTCACATAGCCTAGTCACAAACCCAATAGTGGCGCCGCTAAAGACCCCCAACTCTGTTCAGATAATGTTGACCATCAACAATAGGCATATATATGCTTATAATGGCAAAAAAGAACAATCATCTATACAGCATCATCACACGCACGCGTACACACACACACACACACTGTTTACTTTATTTTATAATAAAGTGTTGCGAAATTTGCTGCGTCTTTCAGTGCAGTGAGGCAAGGTCCGGGAAAACTAAGCGGCAATAACGTCCCAAGGGAGGGGACATCGGTTGAAGGGCGAGGCCCTCGGGAACTGTTGCTCATCCAGGATACGATGCGGTCAATAACACCTCGAAAAACTCTCGCTCATCCAGGATACGATATGGTGAATAACTCCTCGCGTCATGCCAATAAACTATACTTTCTCTATGAATTATTCTGTAGGTATGGACATGGTACATATACTCGATGGTGCTCTGACCAGGTCTAAATGGTGCAATGAAAAAGTAAATAATTCAACATAAATAAATAATGATCACTTGCATACGAAGGACGTGACGTTGGATAATGTAGCCTATTGTTTCTTGCTTTGCTTTATTCCTCGTAGGCCGACTGCTTGGCAAACTTATTCATGAAAATGTTTTTAATCATTGGTTTAGAATAGATCTAACATTTTATTAGGCCAAACTATGTTAAAAGTCATACGTTCAAATATTTAGGATGTTTTTTTTTTTTCATGACAGCCCAGAGACCAGGCAACTGCCCCAAAAAATGTTTGCCTACTGTTTTGACAGTGTCTGCGGGTCCTTTCATGTGAACCCGGTGACTCCCCCCATCGACAATCATCCCACCTTAGAAACAAAAACGATACTTATCTATTCTGATATATCTTCACGTTCATGCCCTCGAGGGTTGACCTGACATTTGTTTAGCGAACGGCAAACCAGACACACTCCAGGTTAGAAAGACTGACTAGGGCCTAGCCTAACCCAGATCGAACACCTGCTATTGTAAAGGAACTTTCACCTGCTTAGCCTACCCATCCGATACCTTCTTGATGCAAAAAGGTATTTCGTAGGCCTTCATTACAGTTATTCAGGACCATGGCATTAGAATAACACAATTTGCGCAAGTGAAGGCCCATTATGATCAGAGGGATGTTTATTTTCAGATAACAAATTGTAGCCTACAAATCAGAACAATGATGTATCAAAATGAATCCTGAGGTGTATTGTTTCCAATCAATTTAATAATAATAACAATACTTTTTAATTTATAAAGTACATTTCCCATGCTCAATGCACATAAGGTAGAAAACAAAACACAAACAAAATTCAGCAACCATACATTGAAAAACAAGCATAATACATCAACCCATGACTTACTAATACAAAATACAGACTTTAAAGGCGCAATATGCCGAAATCACTCCACCATTTCCTGGTTGCAAAAATTCTAATAGTTTTCCTAATTTCAGTTTATCTGACAAAACAAGCAATGCATAGTGTAGAGAATCATTGTACTATCTAAACCGTTGGGAAATATATTTTCAATAACCCAAAATATTTTATTTTCAGCTGTTTGAAGCTGGTGTACAAAACCGAAAGTAAGCAAAACCGAAACGTAAGAATGGGAAGCATAGAAATAGCGCCTATAGAACAGATCACCTGCTTATGAGACTTGCTTTCAAGTAGAACGGTAGAAAGGCAGATCTGTAACTCAGATTTCTATGTGAATTTGGTTGGGTCACCCAAAAAGTTAATATTGCAGATTAAGCGGTCAAACATTAAAAGTTATCTTAAATAGGTAGGTCTTTAGTTGTGTTTTAAACAAGGAAATTGAAGCTGCCTCCCTGACATGTGTAGGTAGCGCATTCCAGAGCTGAGGGGCCACATGTGAGAAGGCCCTGTCACCCATGCTGCACTGGTTTGTTGCTGGTGTGACAAGGCTGTTTGAGTCTGGGGAATAGTTTGCTAGAAGTTGGCATATGTATTTAGGGGCATCACCCTTGAGGGCCTTAAAGGTAAGCAGCAGAATCTTACATTTCATCCTGTATTGAATAGGAAGCCAATGAAGGTTGAATAAAACAGGGGTGATGTGGGTTTTTCATGTAGTTTGTGAGAGCATCCTGGCAGCTGCGTTCTGGATTATCTGGAGTTGCGACAGGAGCGTTTCAGTGTCCCCTTTTGTCCTCACATATATTTGTGTGTCGTCAGCATAAAAATGAAAGTTTAGTCCAAATCCTCTGATTAATATACCAAGTGGCAGCATGTATATAGAGAACAGGAGTGGCCCCAGAACAGAGCCCTGTGGGACACCTTAATGTGACCCTAAATATGTTTGTGCTTTCCACAGTAGGCCTACCTACTGTAACCACATGGTGCCAGAAAGTCTGAAAGAGGAGGGATGGAGATGGTGAATTTGATGAAGCTAACTAGTTCCTCTCTGCGAGGGATGGTTATCCAGTTGTTAAGGTTAGGTTCACTTCTCACAATGTGAAATGTCCGTAATCTACTGTAGGCTGAAGAATAAAACTCAATCATTAGGCTCATATAGTCTACCTTCCTCAAGAACAGTGTAGTTAAAAAGAGACATCTCCACTGTCAAACTCCCCCCATAACTGATGCAATATCCTGACAGATGAAAGGACTCTTTATTAAACTCTCTTTACAGGCAAATAAACCCTTTGTTGGAAAGCTGCTTCAAGCAAATCTCTGACCGACCACAGGAGAGAAAAAACCTGTCAAATGTTTGCCTTTTGGTGGTTCCACAGTGATAAATGTAACCTGGTTTATGTAGGTGGCCTCTGCAAAGTGTACATCATCACAATAGGCTCTTTGCACATGCTAGCTCAATTAGCTTGCTGGTTCGTGGGACCAGTATGACTGTCCAGGCCAAATGAAAAGCATGAAAAGCATACCGAGTACACTCTGGAGTCAATGTTGACATTGTGTGATTATAAGCCTAGGATTGGTGGCCGGGCAGCTATTGTTGCACCTATCAGCAGTGGAAAAGTCCTCACCTTTGCCTTATTGGCTTGACTTTTTCTCTCAATCCAGAGTAGGAGGAGAATGACTGTCAATCTGTGGCCCTTGAGGCGTAGATTCAAGTTCTCATTCATCTTTCTTTCCAAACCGTTGGGTCAAATGGAGTTAGATAAGTAGAGGGCAGGAGAACCCAGGCATCAAATACAAAGAATATCAGAGGTGATGTCACCAGATAGAGTGGTAATAAATGAATGTGAGAGGCACAGGTGAGTGTGGCGGGTGGGTGAGGGGAGGGGGCGGGGGGTGGGTTACCATGGAGACTTCCCTTATCGCAGACATTTTTCTTTATGACAGGGTGAGTCAGAACCCACTGACGCATTTCCCCTCAGTGGAGCTGTATGCATATCCTTTCCCGGTATGTGACGTCACACCTGGCCGAGGGAACCTATACCTTTTCCCCCTCTCTCTCCCCATTTTCTTCTTCCTCCCTCACCTTCTTCCTCTCTCTCCCTTTTCTTCTTCTCTCTCCCTCCCTCGCTGTCTATCAATTCAATTTCAATTTCAATTCAATTTAAGGGCTTAATTGGCATGGGAAACATATGTTTACATTGCCAAAGCAAGTGAAATAGATAATAAACAAAAGTGAAATAAACAATACATTTTTTTACAGTAAACATTAAACTCACAAAAGTTCCAAAAGAATAAAGACATTTCAAATGTCAAGTACAAAAGGGAAAATAAATAAACAATGGTGTTTGTTCTTCACTGGTTGCCCTTTTCTTGTGGCAACATGTCACAAATCTTGCTGCTGTGATGGCACACTGTGGTATTTCACCCAATAGATATGGGAGTTTATCAAAATGGGGTTTGTTTTCGAAGTCTTTGTGGGTCTGT